ACCCAGTCTTTTTGATACAGCTGCCTCATGCTATGAGACATTTTCCGTGGAGTATTTTTATAAAGCTTTCTACAGCTCATGGCCAATGATAAAATCCAGAAAGCACTATTCATTATTTTCTGTTTATCTTGCAGTTCAAATGAGACCATTGAAGAACACATAACTTCAATTTAAAGGTCATTATAGGGAGCCAGCTGCCAGATTTGGACACAGGTTCTTTTTATATCGCGTTCGTCATTTCACAATCATGATTTAGAATGAAAATTGCCATTTCAGTCACTAAAACTGGTAGCTTGGGCTGGGGGTGTAGCTTATCAGTAGAGTTATTACCTAGCATGCTTAAGGCACTGGATTCAGCTCCTATGAGTGGCAAATGTAAAGAAAAAAGGTATGATCTGGCCTATGCTAAGCCGGGTTGAATCAGCTGTTGGAGAAACAATGAAAGAGAAGGGGACCAAGAGATGGAGGAAGAGGGAAGATGGGATAAAATGAATTACAATGTGTTAGGTGCATGCATCCACTCCCCACAAGGAGTGCAGTCCTTATGTACTGTAAACGGATAATAAGACGACAATGTTAGGTTGAGGCCCAAAGTGTATTTCAAGGTTATATGCTTCTTTTGGTTTTGTTTTTTGGTACTGGGGATTGAACCAGGGCCTTACACTGAGCTTTAGCTCCCCTCATCCTTTTATGTGTATTTTGAGACAGAGTCTTGCTGAGTTGCCCAGATGGAGTAGAATTTGTGACCCTTTTTAAATTTTTTATCTTTTTCGTTTTTATCGGTACCAAGGATCGAACTTACGACCGCACACTTGAAAGGAAGGTGCTTATGCCGCTGAGCTAAATCCCCAGCCTCGATCCTTCTGTCTTAGCTTTTCAGAATGCTGAGACTGCAAGTGTGGTCTTACCCTTTCTCAAAAAGTATATATCCTTTTGAAAAAAAATGTCAGTACACAAGTAGTGTTACACTTAAGGACGCAGAGGATCAGCAATGATGAAAAAGCCTCTACATTCATCACTGGTATTGATGCCTCATTAAGCGCAGCCTGAGGTAATTATCTTTTTTTTTTTTTTTAGGCTGGCTTTAAACTTACTATTAATTCAGGCTGGCTTTTTTTTTTTTTTCTTTCCCCTATTTCAAGGATAAACCCAAGCTGGCCTTGAACTTCCAGCAGTCCTTCTGCCTCAGCTTCCTGAGTGCTGGAATTACATATGACACATCCAGCTAAACCTGAGATAATTATCAGAAAACACCAGTCTTACTGTTTTTATTGTATTAATATTATATTCTGATTATTTATCCATCTCAATAGAATGCATACTTCCAGAGGTTAGGGGCCATGTCTGTCATGCATCCCTACCTAGTACCTTGCATTTAATAAATAATTGTGGGCTGGGGATTTAGCTCAGTGGCATAAGCGCCTGCCTGGTGAAAACAAGGTCATGAATTTGATCCCTGGTACCAGAAAACAAATAATATAATTAATAAGTAAATAATTGCTGAATTGAGAAGTATTGTAACTTGCCCATGGGTCACACAGCTAGTAAGTTGCAAACTTAGGATTTAAATCAAATCTATCTTTGTTCCAAAGCCTCCCTGTCCACTAAGGACTATAAAGTGAAATGTAGTACATGTGTAATGTTTTAGTGTCTTTTATTTCCATCGCTAGTATCAAGCACCACTGCCACTAGAATAGGCCAGCAATGCTTTTTATTACACTACTGCTGAAACCCAAAAGAGGATGCTGAAACCCAAAAGAGGATAGAAAACAGTGTAAACTCAGAAGGCTGAGGCAGGAGTATTGCAGCAAGTTGGAGGCTGGCCTGAGCTACATAGTAAACTTAAGACCATCCTGAATTACAGAGCAAGACCCTGTCTCAAAAAGTAGAAATAAAAACAGACAAGAAAAACAAAGTTAGAAAACCTAGTATAGCTTTCCTATCTGTACAAGTTTTACATAATAGTTTGTAGATTCTAGAGAAGACTAGCTCGCTGCTTGTGTTGATTACTTTTCTCTTGTTGCTGAGACAAAATACTTGCATACCCAAAATTAAGAAAGGAAAAGTGTTTGTGTAGCTGTTTGTGGAGGTTTCACTCCATAATCGGCTGGCTGCTCCAAGGCAGCGTGGCATAGCACAGCAGCAACACTTCAAGGCAGCAGAAGACCGCAAAGGCAGCAAGAGCAAAAGGGGGCAAGTGAAAGCCTGTTTTCTTCCCTTTTATTGTATGCTGACTACCCACCTCCCCAGGGTGAGTGTAGCACTCACCACCACAGTGCCCTCCTCTTTTTTAAAATTTTATTTTTTAAAGGAAATAAAACAGTAAAGTGAAATGACAAAACAGTGATAGGGCAGTAGGAAATCCACAATCATTACTATAGTGCATATTGTGATCCTCTAAATGGTTGCTCAGATTACCTATCATCTCAGCCTGTGTCTTGTCTGGTTGCTTATGGGGGGTTTCTTATGCAGCTTCTCCCTAAAGCAGCTGGCAAGGCCACTGAAGTGCACAGGCTGAGACTGTTGACAAAGTAAGGATCCTGGCTCCCTGCTGAGTGGCTTAAACTTCTAACTTTCTCAAGTTAAGACAATGTATCAGGCATAACACTCCTCTGTTTCTAAAATATCACTGTGGTCCTTGTAGTAAACTGAAACTAGAGGATCTCCTTAAGGAATTGAACAGGGTAAGGAAACTTTACAATGTTGGACTTCTCTTCCTCTTAAAATCCACCATCTGTGCTTCTTGCACATTCTGTCACTTTCTCTAAACTTTTAGCTGTGAAGTTAGTGCACAAGTGATGAATTTTCCACTTCTGACACCAATTACAAGTTTAAGGGTGCCTAAGAGTATTCTTATGTTTAGTTTAGAAGACTAAAAAGATTCACTGAAAGCTATTACATACATAATTTTACTACAGTGAAAGGATACAGGTTAAAATAAACAGAGGTCTCAAGGGGTAGAGTCTTCCCAATGCAGAGCTGTGGAGTGTTTGTCAGGGTTACTTTTTTGGCAACAGTGTGCACTAATGACCCTATCCTGCCAGAAAATCCTACTTTCCCAACCAGGTAAGTGTAGGCCAGCGTTCTTACCCAGAGTTTTTATTGGAGCTCATCATTAGACATGATCACCTACCCCTATGGCTAATCTCAGTGTTCAGCTCTTGGGAAATGAAGAGAAACCATGTAACTCACTGACACACAGTCACATTGGTAGACTGACAGGACTCAAGGGTCTAGGGAATAAAAACTGTCAAGCCTGACATCTCAAGGGTTTAGAGATAAACTCCAAAAAGCCAAGGACAAAGGCCAGACTTCTCTGGTCAAGGTTCTATTTTTTACATTTGCCCCTCTACCATGTAGATGGGCCTACTTGTCCATTTCTTTAGATGATTCTATATTATGCCTTCAGTTTTCCCTCTCTGCCCCCAAATCCTACCTTCCTTGAGGGAAGCGCACCTGAGCCTTGGTGTCCAAAGTTTTTTTTGGAGTTAAGCATATAGGCATAATCAACAGACCATACAATGGGCTGCATACAGGGGTGTATAAGGCTAGCCCTCTAGGAGGCTGAGGCAGGAGGATTACAAGGTCCAGGTCGACCCTGGTAGTTTAGCAAGACCAGATCTTGTCTCAACTAAAAAGTGCTGGATGATGTAGCTCAATGCAAAGGCCCTGGTGTCAGTTCTCAGTACCAAAACCAAACCAATATAGTCTATGAGATTGAAAGAGGTTTTTCCATTTTACGTATTTTGTTTGATTCCCCTCCTAGTTCATGTGTTCACCCAGAAACACAACTCTCACTACTGCTGGCTCAGCTTTCATGGCATGGGGAAAGGATGTCTCCTTCCCCAACTTCTTCACACTGCTTAACAAAGTGTCTTCTCCAAAGCTGCTAATTCTGGCCCCTCTCCTTTCTGATTTCTAGAACTTAATGGGAGGGGCTTAGGATATAGCTCAACAGCACAGCACCTGCCTGGCAAACTCAAGGTCTTGAATTTGATTCCTGGTGCAAAAAATAATTAATTCATGGGTGGAAGGAGTAAGCAGTGAGAAAGCTAATCTCTTCCAAAATGGAGTTCTATATGACTGACATACCAGAAATCTGTAACACATAACGGTATTTTATGAGTAACCTACTGCTTGTCCCATCTCTTCCTTAGTGGTGGAATGAATACGGCAGTACTAACGAGATATGTATACAGACACTTAAGAACTGTAAGGTGGCCCTTAATATAGGTCCGAGGGTCCCAGGACTAAGTACTGAGTATTCTCATAAGCCAGAGTAGAGGCTGAGTCGGTTTAACTCGTGGGAAGCCCTAGCACAATGAGAAACTGCTTTTTTGTATACAGTCATAAAAACCTGTTTAGAAAAACTGCGGGGCTGGAACCCCGAATTCACTTATTAATCGCGTATTCTGAGAAATAGGGTGAGAAGAGGTTTCAACGTCACAGAATCCGCGTAAGGAAGATAGTCGCTCCCCTTGCGGTGGCCAGCCACAGCAGACGGCCCACGCCAAAAGACGCAGCTCGGTCCGGCCCGGACCGCTGCCACGCACCATCTACGTCGCGCAAGCGCAGTCTGGTTGCCGGAACTTCCTCTTAAACTCACGTGCTGGACGGCGCGGGAGACGGGCTCTCGCGATGCATGCGTGTGTGCGTGTGCGCGGTTCTCGCGAGCTCGCGCACGCCGCCTCTCACGCTACGGGGCTTTAGCGGCGTCTTTCTGCGGGGTCCGTGGCCCGGCGGAGCACCGTGGCCATTGCCGGGGCTTTGCTCCGCAGTCCGCTTCACCGCTGCCGCTTTTGCTGCCTGCTCTCTACTCCGGACTCCGGCCCGCCCCGTGGAGAGGCGGTGGCTCCAGCGTGAGGCTCCCGGCCGATGGGCAGCACCTGGACGCGCTGAGGGCCGGGCTCTGAGCGGCCGAGGTGGGTGGGCGCGCGGTGCCGCCGCTGGGGGAGAGGCGACTGGGCGGCGGTGTCCGCGGGGGAGGCGGCGGAGCAGCGGCTAGGAGGAGCTGTGCCGCTCGCGCCGCTGGGGGCTGTGGCCTGGCCCGCTGCGAGCGGAGGGTGCGGACGCAGCCTGCTTTTCTGAGTGCGGAGCCGTCAGCGGAGAGGTTACCCCTGCAGCGGGGCGGAAGAGGACTTACCTTTTTTTTTTTTTCTTTGAGAGGTCAAAATCTGCAGCCGTCTCTCTGCTCTTTAAGTAAGAGCTCTGAGAGTGGCTTGAGACGGAGTGACCTGTGGACTCCGACGCTTGCGGAACCCCGAGCGGAGGCAACGGGTTACGAATTTTGCGGTTGGGAAGGTGCAGCCCTTTCTTTAGAGTGGCTCGGCTCTGTGGCAAACTTGTCATTGCTAAGAGGTATATTAACAGTCATTTTCGGGCCCACCACAGGTAATACATTTTTGAACGTCTTGTGTCTTAAGGATTCTGGCACCAGGGGAACTGCCCCGCGGGACACAATTAGGAAGTAGAAGACAAAGGAGGCTGTTATTTATGTTCTGTCTGGTAGAAACTTTCCGTGGTGAGGCAGTGTAGCAGCTGGCCTTTCCTAGATGGTTCTTCAATCATTAAATTGAGTCGAGAGCACTTTTAGAACTATCAATGCCTGTATAGTTACATATAATTGCAAGTTAAATGACCTGTAGTAAATCTCGGAGAATTATGTGGTGTTTGATCTTCCGAGAAGGTTTTCTGTTTAGAAAGTAGCGATTGCCACCGTCAGATTGAGCAAATTAGCATTAAGAAATTCAAATTTAGGTGCAGTCCAAATGTATCAAAGCTCTTAGTTGACTTGCTTGTTTTCAGTGAACCACTTTAAGATCAACAGTCTGTTCAGTAACTTTTCTTTATTGAGATAAAGGCTCGCTGTACTTCAGACTGGCCTTGAACTAATCATGTAGCCCAGACTGGTCTCACAGCAATCTTTCTGCTTCAGCCTCCCAAGTGCTGGGGCACAGGCAAGTGCTACTATGCCCAACTCTTTCTCTCTCTCTTTAAAACAGCCTGGATATGTAGTTCAGGCTAGTCTTGAACTCACTATGTTGCCCAGGCTGGTCTCACAATCTTGCCTCTGCCTTCCTAATGCTCGGATTACAGGCGAGTACTACCATGCCCAGTTTCATTCTTTCTTAAGAAATGTGTCCTGTGAACTTTTAGTAAGCCTGTATGAAGTACAGGGTTAATGCTTATATATTATGCAAGTACTGCAAATAAATGTATCTTGCATATAAGTCATATATATGGGGTTAAGCATACAAGGATGTAATGGTCCTGATTCCTGTCTTTTAATAAGATTGAAGTCTGAAAGTAGGAAAGGATTGGTTTTAGCTATTTCCTTCTGTTAACTTTTTTTGTTGTTTTTTCACGGTGCTAGAGGTTGAACCCAGAACCTCAGGAATCTGAGGCAAGCATTGGACACTGACCTAGGCCTCCAGTCCTTTTTGTTAACTATTTGCATGACTCATTGCCCTAGTAAATTTCTTGGCAGTAGCAGGAGAGGGAAATCAAGAACAGCTAAAAGATCCACTCTTTAGTAGTGTTTTTTATGTCAGTGTTTTATGGTCCTTCCACTGGAATAAATAGGTTTACTCCTCCCATTTTGTGTCCTGGTGCTTAAAAGGTGTTTTGTTTTCTTTTTTTGAGACAGGGTCAAACTGCATAGTTCAGGTTGGCCTTGAACTTACTTTGTAGCAGAGGCTGCCTCAAACTCATCACATTCCAATTGCCTCAGCATCCCAAGTGGTGGGATTATAGGCATATGTCATCTTACAACAGTGTTGTATATGGAATTGGCCCAATAATTGTGAACTATGTCAGAAGTAAACATAGCTGGGTATGGTGGTACCAACATACCTGTAATTTGAACACTCTGAAGGCTGAGACAGGAGGATGGTGACTTTGAGGCCAGCCTGAGCTTCATAACAAGTTTGAAGGTTAGGCTAGACTACAAGATTTGATCCTATCTCATATTTCAAACACATACACACATACATCTCTAGTATAATATAAATCAAAGGCATAAATTCCTGAAGAAGATTAAAGGAATTGGAGATGGGATGCTTTTTTTTTTTTAATTGCAGGTCTTAATTTTTTAATGGTATGTTTTTTCAGCATGGGTTGGTGCCTGAGTAAAGGGTATGTGGCAACACTTTGCCTCTAAAAGGCTGACATAATGTGAACTGAGTCTGTATATTTGAATTGCTGACAGATCATGAATGTTCCTTTATACTGAGAGAAAATGAAGTAAAGGAAGTAAGGTTCAGGGAGAAGTTTAGTGCTAAGCCTTGAAAAAGCATGAAACAGATTGCAGAAAGAAGTATTTTTTCCCTGGCAGTGGGAGAAAGAATTTGTATTTACTTTTTTTAAAAAGTTGACCCAACTGTGTGCTTTCTGAATAATACTGAGCTGGCCCTGGTAGTGTACACCTGTAATGCCAGCACTTGGGAGGCTGAGGCAGAAAGATTACCTTCTGTTCAAGACCAACCTGAGCTACATAGAGAGACCCTATCTCTTTACAAAAAAAAAACAATAATACTGAAAGTGGTTTACTTTCCTCATAGCCTTCTTCAAGATGTATGTTTCTCTTTATATTTGTGTGTGGGTTTTGCTCTAGCTGTATTGGCAATAAACTTTTGAGGTTTTTTTGGTACCAGGGATCAAACTCACAACCTTTGCACCTGCCAGGCAGGCGCTTGTGCTGCTGAGCTAAACTCCTGGCCAGTAAAGTTATTTTGATTCCTATTTAATTCTTCATTTATTTCTCAATTAATATGTAATTTAAAGGAAGGAAGAATGTGGTTTGTCCAATCACAAGTTCCAAAATTGACTTTTCCTATTTGATTTTATATGTTACCATAGGAAGATTTTGTGGGTATTTGTAGAGGTCAAGGGTAGAGAAGTACATAAAAATCTAAGGATTTTTTTAAAAGACATGAAAAGGATTTATTAGCGATTAGAGTGGAAGGCAGGTACTCAGAGCACCTAAACAGAAATTTTTTGAGGGTTTTTGTTGTTGTTTTTTGAGACAAGTTCTCACTATGTAGTGTAGGCTGGCCTTGAACTCACTTATATAGACTAGACTGTCCTAAAACCCATGGCAATCCTCATGCCTCAGCATCCCAACTGCTGGGATTATAGGTGTACACCACCACACCCAGCTCTAAACAGAAATATTTTTGAATTGTGTCTTAATGCTTTTTTTTTAGGAGAGTAGAGTTGTATGGTACGGGGTGATTTTGTCCTCCAGGTATACATTTGGGATATCTGGAGAAATTTTTGGTTGTTAAACTAAACATTTAGGGAAAGGAGAGAAGAGACATTCTTAATGACATCTAGTGGGTAGGAGTCAGGATGCTGCTTGTTTGTCATTACTGTTTCCTAATGTGTTCGTGGCATGTTGCATAAAGTCTGCCTGTTTCTATAAAACAGAACTAATAATATTAGGTTCTCATAAACAGGTACTGAAGGTTAAATCAGGTATCATGCAAAATGCCTGTAGTCCCAACTACTTAGGCAGCCAGGTGAAAGGATTACAAGATTGAACTCAGCCTGGGTGACTATCTCAAAATAAAAGAGAACTGGAAATATGAGGATGTAGCTTAGTATAAAGGCCTTGGGTTCAATCTCTAGTTCTGTCAAAAACTAAAGACAACAAACCTAGTCGTCCTAGTATCTTTAGAAAGTGAAAGAAAATTTTTCCATTTAATATCAATCCTGTCTTATTTTATATCCTCATGTATGTAAGGCTCTTCCATAAGCAAGTAGCTTCTCACTGTAGATATTTTTTTTAAATAGTTAAGAATTTAAGTTGGCTGGCCAAGAGCTCTGAATCTATTGATTCTCAGTAAATAGTTAGAAATAAAACAAGTGGAATGTGGTGGCACACACCTATAATCCCAACAATTAGGGTGGGAGGGGGTACTGACAGGAGAATTGCTGTGAGTTCAAGACAGCCTGTGAGCTCAAGGTCAGCCTGAACTGCTTAGTGAGACTCTGTCTCAGAAAGACATAAATGTTTAACAGTTTATTTTCTGTGACTTGATTCTCCTTTTCTTCTGTTTTTATGAACTGAAATAAATTTACACTGTTTTTGGTTCACATTAGTCACCTGTTTATGACATTTGGGAGTAACTATTTTCATAGCTGAGGTTTTGATGCAGTTTTATGTGTATGAATAGTACAGACAAACATCTAATGATGTGAGACTGGACCTTAATTTATATTTTGTGACTTTTATAAATCTGAATTGGAACCAAATCTTTCTTTGTTACTTTGCTGTGCTATAATATAGTTTCTGTGAAATACATTTGTTGTACATCTGAACAGTATAATTGTTTAGGATAGGTGTGCTGTGGAGTGGCTTGAATATATTCATTCTTTTGTGTGTGTGTGTGTGGTGATGGAAATCAAAGTCAGGGCTTCTTGTATGCTAGGCAAGCAAGCACTGTATTCCTTGAGCTGTATCTCTAGTCCCTTAATATTTTCTTTAAATAGAGAAAAAAAAATCACAAGCATGTTGTCATAGACAAAACAGACTTTGGACTTTGGTTCATCCAGGCTCCTGTAATAGAAGAACCACCACACCATATTTGTGATCAACAGAAAGCTGTGTTGTACCTTCAGCGTTTCACCTCTACACTAGGAAGTGTTTCATTATTGTTACTCATAGTTTTGTAGTATAAATCTTAACTGTTTGCACATAATTCTTTCATTTTAGCTAATGTTAACCTTTTTCACCCTTACTAATGACATAGGAAATTTGAAGGGAGTCAGTACTTGGGCTAAGAGATTGAGTTAGTTCTTTGTCACACTGTATCTTTTGTAAAGTGAAACATATACTCAGTTCTGTTTAAATAATAAATTATAATAATGGTGGAGTATGTGGAAACTCTGGTCAGATTAGAAGTATACATATGAAAAATACACTAAAAGACCAAAGAGGCATTCTAATAGTGGCAAACTGAAAAAATATTAAAAGTTTTTATCTTTACTATTATCCTTTTGGAGTTTAATAATCTCAAATTGCATGGCTAGTAATACTAGGGTCTTATAAGCAGGTGCTGAAGATTAAATCAGATAACATGTAAAGTGCCTGTAGTCAGGCTACTTAGGCTGCCATCCCTTGGAGACTTGAGGCGGGGGGATTGCTGTGAGTTGGAAGACAGCCTGGGCTACACAGTAAATTCAAGGCCAGCATGAATTATATAGCAAGATCCTGTCTAAAAAAAAATACAGAAATTGCAATTGAAAAGCCTACACAACGGCTGGGGATATAGTTCAGAGGCACAGCACCTGCCTGGCAAGCACAAGGTTGTGAGTTCAATTCCTAGTACAAAAAAAAAAAAAAAAAAAAGCCTACACAATATAACATTTGTTTTCTACTTGTAGTAGAATATTATGGCCAACCCAATTAGTATTATAATTAAGTTAGCTTGATATTTGTTGCTACCCATGATTAAATTGAGAAAAATAAGGATCCTAAAAGTCAGTTGAATAGGCTGATCTGTGTTTTTAAGTGAGCCAGCACCCTGTCTAATTTTAGGCAGTCTAAATAGTTGTTGGAAGATAGTTTTCCCACTGGGTGCTGTCATACAGATAGATACTTATTTGTGTATGCATATTTATGCATATTTGTGTTTTCTTTTTGGTAGAAAATGATGCATCCTGTTGCCAGCAGTAATCCAGCATTCTGTGGCCCTGGCAAGCCTTCCTGCCTCAGTGAAGATGCCATGAGAGCTGCTGATCAGTTTGACATATATTCCTCTCAGCAGAGTAAATACAGCCACACAGTCAGCCACAAACCAATGGTTTGTCAGAGGCAAGATCCGTTAAATGAAACACACTTGCAGACTACAAGTGGCAGAAGCATAGAGATAAAAGATGAACTAAAGAAAAAGAAAAATCTCAACCGATCTGGTAAGCGTGGCCGACCCTCAGGAACCACCAAGTCAGCAGGATACCGGACCAGCACAGGCAGACCTCTGGGAACTACCAAAGCAGCTGGATTTAAGACAAGTCCAGGCAGACCTTTGGGTACAACTAAAGCTGCGGGATACAAAGTCAGCCCAGGGAGACCTCCAGGTAGCATTAAAGCTCTATCCCGCCTTGCTGATCTTGGTTACGGCTGCGGCACTGCTGCTTTTCCTTACCCCATGATGCATGGCAGAGCAGTTCATGGAGTGGAGGAAAGCAGCAGTGAAGTGAAGCCACCCAATGAGTGAGGGAGGCCGGAGAGTAGGCTGGGTTTAGAGAGAGATTTTGAGTAATCCCAAAGCTCTTGGTTTGTTTTTGACAGACATAATTATATAGCCTAGGCTTTCCAAATTCGTTTTTCTGTTTGAGTTTTCCCCCCTGCTTTTGCTCAGGAGCTGCCATATGCTTTCAGATGCACTCGGGGTATGAGCAGGGCCATTGTATTTGTACATAGGTTCACACATAATACCTAACTAAAACAGTTGCTTTTCCTTATGATTATATCTTATGTTTTATTACTACTTTTGGGTCATTCTTAATAGATGCTTTATGTGCTAAATAACTGAAACCATTATACATATTAGTTTGTGAGGTAAGCCTATAATATCTAAGGGATGGAGCAAAAAAACAAACTCGCAATTCAAGATTACTTGAGGTAATGGCTATGTGAGTTTTCACAGCATTTATGTTCATGAAACAGGACATGGCTGTTTGTATGCTTTAGAATTTATAGAGACTGCAAATGTTAAAACTTACTTGTAGTGTTGTGAGTTTAAGCAGCTTATTTATTGATCTACGTGGCATTAATTGATTTAACCATTATTCTTAAAAGAATTCCTTAGGATTTTCCTTTCAGCAGTGATTGCTTTTATATTTAAGTTACCTATGAGCATATGTACCAAACACTACAAACAGTTCATATTTACAAAAATTTAAACTATCTTATAAAAACTACACATTGCATTTTTAGTAAAATACAATGCATTCTGAGAATAGCATATTTAATATAATAGAAAAAGACATTCTTAAGGTCTGCATGTAGCTACAGTCACTAATTTTATACTTAGTTTTAAGTATTGTTAAAAAATCTGTTAATGTTACTCATTTATTTGGAGTGTTTTTTAATATTTCTGAGAAATTGTCCCATTGCATTAATGCTTAATTTCAGGTTTATATCTACCAAAGGACACACATTGAGTGGTAGACTGTAAAACTGGTATAAACAAAATGCAATTTCCTAACTCTTAGAACCCAAAACTAATGTAGGAAGCCATCTATGCATGTAACATGTAAAAAGTTTTTGGTTAGTCTGATTAAAAACCTTCTTGTGGCTCTAAGGGACCACTTCATCCAAAATAACTCCCCTCCACAATAATACTTGCTTTAGAAGCAATATAGAAAATAGAATAATGAGGGGCTGGGGATTTAGCTTAGCGGCATAAGCGCCAGCCTTGCAAGCAGGCAGTCGTGAGTTCGATCCCCGGTACCGATAAAAAGGATAAAGACCAAAAAAAAGAAAAAAAAAACAAAGAGAATAATGAATATTGGGGAAATACATTTATTAGGGACAGAAACTCCCTTTCTTTCTGAAAGTAATATTCCTTATTAATGTTTTATTCTGAGTTCTAAAAAATATTATAAACTTCAGATACGGAAAATTCCACTGACCTTTAAGTTACAGTGTTTGTACATGTGACATGAAATGCCTTTGAGATTAAAATGTAATTTTTTAAGACCCAAACTTTTAAAATAATTAAAATTTTAAAAGGGCACATATTGCATTGGTTGGGCTTGCTCTCAGTTAATACAAACTCTGCAAATGGTTGTCATGTTTCATACCTTTTTTATCAGGAAAAAAGCAGCAAGCCTTCAGGTGTTCCAGTGATGCCTGACACAATGAGCTGGACTTTGTACTGCTCTTTACAGTAAGAGGTGTTGCATTTTATGTGGGGACTGTGTGTGCACTGGCATCTAAGACAGTGACCTCAACATTAGCTTTGCACAAACCATAGTGAACAATGTTGGCTAACTACGCAATCAGTCTGTAACATTCTGGCAGCTAAAATGCTACAAGAGTTTCTTCTTGCAGAAGCTTAGACTATATAACAAATTTAGTAATTTCCTCAGAACAGTATAACTTCTGACACACACAAATGCTTGCATCCTTATTCATGTGTTCGTCCATCCCTATTTCTTCTGTATCTGTCATTTAGCCATTTCTCAAGATGATGTTCAGCAGTTGGCTGCTTAGAAGGCCTTTCTAATTCCTAGAGACAGTTCAGTTAATTCTTCTACCATAGAATACTTACCATTGTCAAGAATTGGTTACATGTTTAAGTTCATTTGACATTACCCTTTCATTGGTGATTTTGTTAAACATAGCCTTCCTGTTTTTCCCCTGCCCTTTGCTACATTCATTCCCTTCCCCTTTCCTCCGACCCTCCAGCACATCTACTCAGTGGTGCTGTGCTGTGTGTCAGAAAATAAAGCAGGTGTATTATTGTACAATAAATTTTGTATACATGTTTATGAAATAATGAACTAAAGGAGATATGTCCATCACAGTGTTTATTATCAGAGCTATGTCCCAGGGGGCCTGGGGACATACGGATACAATTGTGGATTAGTAACATCATTTAGAAAGCTGAATTTGCTGTTCATGAGCACTTGGATTATTAGAGCTACACACTGGTGAACATCTCTTGATTCCACTTACCTTTACTCCAAGTGAACAGTTTACTGGTGCCACACTGAAGAGAAAGACATGAGTGGTAAAATGAATGAAGTCTTAAAATGCAAAATATTTTTAATTCTATATAATCTGAAGACTATTGTGCATCTTTTGTAACACTGTCTCTTGTCATTATAAACACTGAAATAGCATGTTGAACGGTTGCCTATACTCAGTTGGGGAAAACTGGCCTTTTCCCTGCACTGTATGATTGTTCCTTAAAAGGTAAATTGCTAATTTTATACTACGTAATTCTGTTCTTCACAAAATAGGTTTCACTATTCTATATAAAACTGTTGGGTCAGAAAATGATCTGCTATTCAAGTAAGTTTGTTTTACTTTTTCTTTAAGAAGTATTTTAACATGCCTTATTTATTGTTACCATATTAACAAGTAGGGTAATACAGAGGAAATTTTCATTTTTTTGACAGATATAACCTTGCATAACTAATCTTTGGTAGGGGTGATTTTGATACTATCTTTGGAGTTTTGCACTGGGTATTAAAAATATACTGGCACAATGTATTACAAGAAAATTAGTATCTGTATTAATTTTTAATATTTGAGGACATTTTTTAAATCCATGTTTTAATTAGACTAAAAATTCTACTTTTTTATTTAGTTTTGGAAGAAACCTTGTCAAGGTGGTATTCATTCCAAACTAATGTTTGTGTGAATTTACATATATATTTTCATGAAATAAAAAGTTTCTTTGTGTTAAGGAGGAAAAAAAAAATCTAGATCCATTTCTTTAAGTTAAAGTTGATTCCAGTATAAGAATAACTACTGTGTATGAGCTAAAATAAATAAATAAACTTCTTTATATTCTAAGATGCTTTAAAAAAAGTTCAGGGGTTACTATAACTTTTACTCTATTAATCATTGTCTCTGTATGCAGTGAAATCTTACGATTCCTTTATAGTAAAATATAAGAATCTACAACAGTCATTAAAACATTTTATACCCTTGAACATAAAAATTTTGATGCCATTCTGTTTTTCTTGTATTGTAGCATATCTGTTTGCTCTTAAACTCTAGGATGTATCTAAATCTTTCCATTGCTTTTCCCCCATCCTAAGTAGTCACATTTGTGCTCTCACATATAATGTATTTAATTTTTGAAAATTAAATACTCTAGTAAATCAAGTGTTATTTAAAGGAATCAGATTCTTTGATTCTTCAAGTTTTCAGTTTCTTTTTCCACAGATGATTATGGGGAAAATAATTACCAATTACTGACGATAAGCACGCTGTCCTCTGCTGTAAAAAGTCTGAATAGATACTGTGTATGTTTTTATGTCCATGAACTTGAGCTACTCATGTGCAATTATGTGTATGGGAATGGAGTAGTGTTCATGATTTGTATTTACATCATCATATGGATGTATATTTATTAATAAAGTCATTACTTTAAAACAAACTGTTTTTCTACTTTTTTTTAAAGATATGTTCATTTATTCTGAATCTTGTATTGATTCTACTTTATTTTTTAGCATAGTACTTTTCAAGCAGGAAAATGAAACCTATTTCATAATTATAGATTGTGTTTTTTTTTTTTTTTTTGGAATTTTGTATTCTAAAATCTGCTCCTGGGGATGTAGCTCAGTGGCATAAACACCTGCCTGGTAAATACAAGGTGTCCTGAATTTGATTCCTGGTACCATACCAAAAAAAAAAAAAAAACCCTACTCTTCTTTTTTTTTTTAATTTTATTTAATTTTAAAGAGAATAAAACAAAAGAGAACAGAACAATGCAAGCAACACAGCACTTTACAGCAAGACAACCGGATATGAACAGTAGCTACCATAATGTCTCTTTTCTTTGAAATAGTTGAACATTCCTTCACACACAATATCAAACATAACAAAATAATGAATTTCAAAAGAATGAAAGCATTACAGGCCTTCAAAACCAAATAATAGCACCTGCCTTGCAAGCAGGCGGTCGTGAGTTCGATCCCTGGTACCGATTAAAAAAAAAAAAACACCAAGTAACAGGAAATGAACAGTGGCTACTATAATATCTCATATGTCTTGTTTATACCATCACACATAATAAAACACAACAGGATAGAACCAGTCAAAACAGAAGAACAAAAGCATGGTAGGACTTCAAGATGATTGTAAATCAGCAATGGTTGCCATAATGTCTTGTTTTCTTCAAAATAGCTGTTAATAGCATTACACATAATCAAACCAATGAATGAAAGCATTATAAGACTTAAAAGCAATATAATAGGAAACCATGGTTACCATAATATATCCCATTATATCTACCATCTGATAGCATAAAACCTAACAAGACAGGACAAAGCCAAATCTAACAAAATTGTGTAAACAATGCAAGAATTCAAACAATGCAAGACAATAAGAAATTGACAGTTTCCACCTTTCCGTTCCAAGTGTTTCCTCCCCTTTGGTCCCATTAACTCCTGTTTCTTATGCTAGGGTTCACCCCCATATGAGTTCTGTTTTGGTCATCAGCATGATCTCAGATGCATCCATTTACCTACAGGAGCCTTGAGATTATTCCATTTTATAGCTAAGTAGCTTCCCATTGCATGAAAATACGCATACCATTCTTATCCATTCTACAGTTATTCTTGCTTTTTTTTTTTTTTTTGGTCACATGGAACAATTGTTTTCTCCTTTGATTTTCAGTCTGTGAATTTCCTTTCCAGTTAAATGTTTCATGTATACAGTATATTGATGGATCTTGTTTCTTGATCCACTCTGTGTTTCTTTTTATTGCTGACCTGAGGCCATCTACATTAATGGTTACAACCAGCATACATTGGTTTGTCTCTGCCCTGCTGTCCTGCTGCTATTCCCCTTCATTCAATTGCCTCTCTTGTTTGGTGGAACAGCAGTTCCTGGAACCATGGTCATCTTTTTTTTTTTTTTCTCGTCTTTTTTGTTTTTACCAGTATCGGGGATCGAACTCACAACTGCCTGCTTGCAAGGTAGGCACATGCCGCTGAGCTAAATCCCCAGCCCCATCATGGTCATCTTTATCTGTCTCTAGAGTATCCTTTAGCACTCTGTAGGGTTGGTCTGGTGGTCATGAGTTCCTTCAGTTTTTATCATGGAAGTATCTTATTTTTCCATCAATTTTGAAAGACAGTTTTTCTGGTAGATTGATCTGGATTGGAAGTTGTTTTCTTTTAGGGTTTGAAACACTTCCCTCCAAACTCTTCTTGACTTGATGGTTTGTGTTGACAAGTCTGCTGTGTGATTCTGATTGATTTTCCTTTATAGGTGATCTGTGTCTTTTCTCTAACAGGTTTTAATATTCTAGTCTTGTGCTGAATTTCTGGGATCTTGATCATTATATGTCTGGGTGTAGATTTACTTTGGTTATGGCTAGTTGGAGTCCTGTATGCCTCACGTATCTGCATGCCAGATCCATTTCCCATGTTTGGGAAGTTTTCTGCTGTTACTTCTGTGAATATCATTTAATTTCATTTGTGTTGACTCCTGCTTCTTCAGTGATCCCTATCACTCTTAAATTATGCTTCTTTGCATCATCTTGCTGCCATTATTTCCTCCATGTTATATTTAAGAGATCTTTCCTTTCATGATCACTAGCTGCAATCCTGTCTTCAAGTTTGAAAGTCTATCTTCAGTCTCTTTCAAGCGGTTTTGCCAGCTTTCAATTGAACTTTTAATTTCCTGCATTTCTCTTTGAACCTGTATCATGCATTGTAATACCTTTCTACACTCATTCAAGGTTTCCATCATTTTCCTATGCTCCCCTTTATGGGATGGGACAGGCACTTGGGTTCCTCTAATTCCAGATTTACAGGGCGGTAGCAGGATGTGGAGCGGGCTTCAGAGTTATGCAGCTACACTGTGGCTTTGCTGATGATCATAGGTGCATGTAGGTGGGTGGGGCTGCTTCTCTCAGCCTCTATGTCTACACTGGGACACCCATGGGTGTGTTTGTCTGATTCTGCTATGTCTTCTTTAGACCTGCTGAACTATTCTTTCATTATGTTTGTGATTTCTTCTTTTTCCTGAGACATTATTTCTGATTTGACTGCTTTTACAATCTCATGAAGTTGTTTCCCTACTTCAGTTGCTATGCTCTCAGAGATTTCAGGTGTGTGACTTCCGTTTTCTTCCCTGACCGTTATCTTCCAGACTTACTGTGTGTGGGCTAGCGGCCTTGAGTTGCCTTTTGCTCCTTTGTCTTGACATTCTCCTGGGTTCCTTCCAGCAAGCTGGTTGTGGGGTCCCAGGCTCTTCCTATGTTGGCTGCCCCTAAGCAGTGTAGGGGGATGGGACAGGCACTTGGGTTCCTCTAATTCCAGATTTACAGGGAGGTAGCAGGATGTGGAGCGGGCTTCAGAGCTATGCAGCTACACCGTGGCTTTGCTGATGATCATAGGTGCATGTAGGTGGGTGGGGCTGCTTCTCTCAGCCTCTGTGTCTACACTGGGACACCCATGGGTGTGTTTGTCTGATTCTGCTAGTGGATGATGGCTGTCCGAAGGAACCAAGAGCCTCAAATTGTACCTACGGATGCACAGGGCTTACCTGGCTATGTGTCCTGCTCCTGCTGGCTGCCTGCAAGAAGGAGCCTTCCAGAGCTCCCAGAACTTGAAGGTAGATCTGGTTCTGTCTGCCCATGCTGGCCGCCTGTAGAACGTGGCCTTTTGGTGGCAGCACACAGCGGGCAGAGGGGGATCTGTCTGTTTCCTTTGGCCCGTGCCGGGCACGTGTGGAGGAAACGGCCTTTGGTGATGGTGCCTCACAGGCAGAGCTGGATCTTCTGGCTCTCTGCCCACGCTGGGCATGCAGAAGAAAGGACCTGATGGCAGGCCTGGCGGGCAGAGGCAGATCTCCTGGCTCGCTCTCTGCTGGGCACACCGAAGAAAGGGCCTTCTGGTGGCAGCAGGTGGAGGCAGATCTGGTTTTCTCTGCCCACACTGGGTGCACAAAGGAAAGGCATCTTATTAAAAAGGTCATGTACATCAAAAATATATATATAACAATTCAGGCAAAGAAAAATAGTTGGACATTTTTTCAACAGATGTGTTACCCTCATTAGAGAGACCCTAAAGGATGTCACATATCACAGAAAACTGAAAACACAGTTCACCGTATTAATAAATGTCAGGAACCTGAAGGCCACCACTTTGAGCACCTCTTATAATTGTAGAGGCCAAAACGAGGTACACACCTATAATCCCGGCACTTAGGAGGCTGAGGCAGGAGGATCAGGGGTAGTTCAAGACTAGCCTGCACTACATAGTGAGATCTGTCTCAAAAAAGATAATTTATATTAACCTCATAGTCTCTCAATAAATTTACTGTTAAAATACAAAATACTTAACACTGTGAGACATTGTGACACACACCTATAATCCCAGCACTTGTGAAGCTAAGACAGGATGTGAGTTTGAGGTCTATTTTGGCTACATAGTGAGTCGAGGTGAGGCTGAACTGCAAAGCAATACCCAGTCTCAAAAAATCAAAACAAGTTGGGTATGGAGTGGCAGTAACCACAATCTCTGCACTCAGGAGGCTGAGGTAGGAGGATTGCTGAGTTTGAGAGCATCCTGAATTACAAAGACAGACCCTGTCCTCAGGGGAAAAAAGTCAAAACAACCCGTGTGGTGGCACATGCCTGTGAATTCAGCATTTGGGAGGCTGAGGCAGGAGAATCACTGTTGAGTTTAAGGCCAGTCTGAACTACATAGTGAGGCCCTGTCTCAGAAACCATTCCCTAAAAAACCCTAAAATAAAATACAAGTTTATATTTTATAGGTTGAGATATTTAAAACATATAAACCCTTAATCTCAATTTTATCTGAAGCCTACAGATCACCTAGGCCCACTGCCTTTTGTAAATAGTTTCACTGGAACATAGATGCTTGTTTAAAGATTGACTGCTTTTACGTTACAATGGTGGCAGATTTGAATAGGGGTGACATAAGACATAAAACCTAAAATATTTACTATTTGACTTTTTCCTGTACAAAAAATGTTTACTGACCCTTCATGTAGAAGGATTACATGCACTAGTCAGGCTTGACTTGACTTACTACATATTGCAGCCTGGTGTAATAACCTTAAAAAACAAACACCAAAGGCTTTTTTTTTTTTTTTTGTATAATATTCTTCAAATTGCACTTTTCACTGAACTTATGTGTATTTTTGCTCTAGTTGAAGCCTGTGCACTTTACATGAACATATGCTATTAGGTGTGTTGCTCCTATTCTAGGAAAAGAGCTATATCTTCATAGTACTAAACCATTTGCTGTGGTTCTTAGAGTTAACTGATTGTTCATGAAATATCTTCTACTGCACTTTTTAGTTTCACAATTTTTTTTTTTTGAGATAAGATATCACTGTACAGTTCAGGCTGGTTTTGAACTCATGTAGCCAGGCTGACCTTGAACTCACAGCAATCCT